CCCCCCCCCCCCCCCCCCCCCGATCCAGATCCTGTGGACCTTCTCCATCTTCCTGGAGGCTGTGGCCATAATGCCACAGCTCTTCATGATCACCAAGACCGGCGAGGCAGAGTCCATCACCACACACTACCTGTTCTTCCTCGGCCTCTACCGAGCTCTCTACATAGCCAACTGGGTGTGGCGCTACCACACCGAGAGCTTCTACGACCTGATCGCCATAGTGTCGGGCGTCGTGCAGACCATCTTCTTCTGCGACTTCTTCTACCTTTACTTCACGAGAGGTGAGTAGCGACTGTACTGTGAAGGTGATGAGTTGGCTGGTGGCAGTGATCGCTGGGAGATGTCTCTCGTCCTCGTCACCGGAGCTACGGCTAACCAGCCTCTTCACCCGTGAAGTGTCACAAACAAGCTGAAGCATGATTTACCAAACCAGCCCAAACATTTCTTTCAAATCCAAAAAAAGCATTTTCTTATGTAGTGAAGCCAAACTCTGCATGCGTTGAAAACGCCTGGTGTTTACTCGTCAGACAGCTGAGCACTCGGCGTCATCTGTTGTGTGGTGTTTAGCCTTCAGTCGTGCTTCTCGGCAGAAGGGAAGTGACATGTGACTGGTGTTTGGCGTTGGCTCCCTCTCTGAGCTTGTTGTTTCAACATCTCTCCCATTTTGTGCTCTGTCTGTCTGCAGTGCTTCGAGGACGAGGAAAGATGACCCTGCCCATGCCCGTGTAAGCCCCACACACCTGCTGCAGGTCAACATCTGGACTCGGATGTTGCCTTTCAGCTGTACATGTGTTTAGCAATGGGACTGATGGTCTGACACCACCCTGTAGACCAGAAGGAGTGCGCCTCTGCAAACTGAATTTCAGTCTGATTGGTACTTTGTGTGTGTGTGTAAGCATATATGTGCACACAAGTTTGTGAAAGATGTTTTTTGTTAAGATGCAGATGTGCAGGTAACACTATGGAAACACTGTGTATTTGTCTTTACGTTTCCCTTCAGCTGCTGAGGGACACAGGCTGTTGTATGTGAACAGCTCTGTGTGCGTAGCTTTTGTTACACACATCCATTGTGTCCTGTATGAAAGCAGTCAGGGCCCAGACTTTGATGTCACCACCCTACATTTGATCAACTCAGTCTTGAGCCTGATGATTTACAGTAACGACAAATATCATGTAAAATCCACAGTGTCTTCCTCCTTGGCCTGTAATGTCAGACCACTCCCTGTAGGCCTGTTTAGCCATTTTCCCAGGTTGTATGTCACTTTTTGTACTTTCTTGTTTTCTAAAGAGACAAAAAAAGGCCTAAAGCCAAAGATGGAACAGAAAACTGCTGCATTGTTTGTCCAACAGATGTTGACTGATCTCTGGTTGTATACAAGATTAACCTGATTAACACCAGTGTGTTCCTCACAGAACGCTGAATTGCACATCATTTTTATGACGTTACTTTTATTATAATACATGAATACTTTCAACAACAAGGTGTGGTTTTGTTCTTCCTCATCAACACACACATTCCTGTTTAACAATGTGCTGATGTCGGAGACAGTGACAGTTTTTCACTCCTCTGTGTCCGGCTGACACCTGGCCGAACACGGTCCAGTCTCCTTTCACTCCTCTGTGTCCGGCCGACACCTGGAGACACCTGGCCGAACACGGTCCAGTCTCCGTCAGTGCAGGAAGGTTTTGCGGTGCTTGTACAGAACCTTACCTCCCTCTCTCATAGCCCCTCCCACCGCCTTTGCAGCTGAACTGATGGAAAGTGGTGTCGCTGCCAGAGCCACCACCTTTGCCTTCTTCACAGCTTTCCCCTTGCCTTTGTCCTTCCCCACGATCCCTGCCCCCTCTGCTGCACCTTTCCCAACTGCATTCACCAGCTCACACCAGAAGAGCTTCTCTGCCCTCTTCCTGGCCTCCTCCTCCTCCCTCCTCTTCCTCCTCCTCTCGAACTCGGCTCCCTGCTCTTCTTTGTCTTCACTCTCCCTCTGAAGGAACTCCACCTTGTGTCCTGGTTCTCTAAGAATCCTCTCCTGTGCCTCCCTGATGACCCTCTCAGCCTCCTTAAACATCTCGTTGCTGTAGCAGCTGCCTCCGTTGCCCACCACCATCTTGTCCACCTTCCTCAGAAGCTGCACCACCTGTTGTGTGCACTCTGCCGTCCTGTCCTGTTCACTGTTGTCAAGGATGTGATACCCCCCGTGGCAGCTGCTGACAAATTCGGACAGCTCATTGCTCTCCTCCAGGAAGTCCTCCATGCGTTTGCCCTGCAGCTGGTCTCCCCAGGTGAACAGAACCATGGTGAACCTGGTGGCTCCAGGCCCAAACGTAGCCTTGATCCATCCCAAGGCATCCCGCTCCTCCTGTGTGAACCTGCCAGGCTGCAGGGTCACCAAGAAGCCATGGGGTCCCGGAGAGGTCAGGACAACACAGCGTCCCACCTCAGCCATGACCTCCCGAGGGGGCAGGTGTGTGTGGAAGAACCCGGGGGTGTCGACCACAGAGATGCTGCGCCCGTCTACTGTCCCAATGTGTCTCTCGCACCGGGTGGTCACAGATACAGGGGAAACATCAACCCGGAAGGCGGACCTGCCCAGGATGGTGTTGCCTGAGGAGCTTCTGCCTGTTCCTGTCCTCCCCAGCAGGACAATCCTCAGGGGCTCAGCCTCAGACCTAGGTGGTGTTTCACAGACTGTGGCAAAGGTACAGGGATAGTACAGTTCATGTGAATGATCTCTTATAGATATTTGACCTCCTAGCAGTATTAATGGTGGTAATATCCACCATATTTAAAGCAGATATTTAAAAAAACGACATATTTTAAAGAACATTTAAGATTTCGAATCATATTTGTGCTGATTGCATTAACTTTGATTTTTATACAGCATAGATAGCATTTTGAATGCGTATTTAACAGCGTACAGTCGTACAGTGTATTGATTCAATGTAACTTGATAACAATAACCGACATACCTGCATCTGACGCAGCGTTTTCAGATGACGACATCCTAACAGAGAACTTAATACATCCTTTGGCATGCGGGTTATTCGGTGATCGAGAAAATACTGACGACTGGTTTCCTGGGTTGGCGTTTTTCCTGCACTTTCGCTGTGTCTAAACCATCCTAGTGCTGTTTCAGTGTAGAAGGGAGCATCAGTGCAGCTGCAGCGGGAGCTGATGCGCCACACGGCCGCGCCACGGCGCAGACTGAGGAGGTTAACACCACACAGAAGTGTAGTGAAGTCCGGTCTCAACAACAGAAAACTCTTATTAAAAGAGCTCTTTACTAATACAGTGACAACTACCGAAGTTACCACGGTACCTATGTGTAACCGGCGGGTTGGCCACGCCCACACCGCCCGGTGAGTGATTTATCGGAATGATCATGGAGATGCTTTTGGGACAAGCAATTTCTGTGCTGGTCGCTGCTGTAACTATTTTGAAGTGGATCTCCCCACATTGATCTGCTTTCTCTGGAAGCTATGTCCAACGGACTGATTGTAGATCGGATCTGTTGCAGTGCAAAGTGCTTAACCAGGTTGTAAACTGTTCTCAGGGGATTACCACCTGCTCTCCAGGAGAGATAATTGATGCAAGCATGATCCAGTAGAAGTTGGCGTCCATCGCACATGTTAGGGTGACGTGCAGCCAAGGTAACCTGTAGCATTGTTGGTTTTAATGTTTCCATGTTATTTATTAAGTGGCTTTACTTGTTGCAGGGGTGACAGCCACTGCTGCTTTGCTTATGTAACGTTCTGCCTTGTTTTGTTCTGTTTTTATGTTGAGGTTTACCTAACAATGTGTTCCCTGTTTCTAAGTAGGGTTTAGTCAGTTTTATGGTGTGTGCGAATGGTTGTATGCACAGGGAGGCAAGGCCCTCTTATATTTGGTTTGTTGATGTGTGATTAATTGATTTGTGGTGTTTATTTAATGATGCCCTTTTCAACCCGTTGACTGACCATTTTACTCCTGTTCTGCCCTCTACAGGTATGTGCCAAAAAATTAGAATATCGAGGGAAAGTCCATTTATTTCAATAATTTGTTTCAAAAAGTGAAACTTGTATGTTATATTAGTTCACTACACACAAAGTGAAATATTTCAAGCCTTTATTTGTTTCAATTTTGATGATTATGGATTAAAGACAAAAAAAAAAACCCAAATCCAGTATTCCACAAAATTAGAATATTTCATGTGACCAATAAAAAAAGGATCTTAAACACATGTTGGCCTTCTGAAAAGTGTGTTAATGTACTGTATTATGTCCTCAGTACTTTGTTGGGCCTCCTTTTGCATTAATTACTGCATCAAGGCGGCGTGGCATGGAGGCGATCAGCCTTTGACACAGTTGAGGTGTTATGGTAGCCCAAGTTGCTTTGATATTGGCCTTCAGCTTGTCTGCATTTCGAGGTCTGTGTTCCCTCATCTTCCTCTTGACAATACCCCATAGATTTTCAATGGGGTTTAAGTCAGGTGAGTTTGCCGGCCAATCAAGTACAGTTATTCCATGGCTATTAAACCAGGTACTGGTAATTTTGGCTGTGTGGGCAGGTGCCAAATCCTGCTGGAAAATAAAATCTTCAGCTCCAAAAAGCTTGTCGGCAGCAGGAAGCATGAAGTGCTCTAA